TAAAATATGTATTCCTGAAACGTTATTTGAGGAAAATTAGCAAATTTAAAGTTAAATTAATCTAATTTGAAACAAATATTGTCTACTTATAGCATAAAATGTTGTATACAAACATTTCTTAACTACGGGGGCCTTGTTCTTCTTATATGTTAATCGTGTATTGACAGTCGATTTACAGTCTAACCTGTTCATAGTTAAGTATGTTGAAGCAGACGATAAAATTTGAGTTTTTTTCCCCGTAAATGGGTACAACTCTTAAAACACTTGACCTTTAAATGCTAGATTTATCGGTTTGTACATCCATACTCCAGAAATTCTGCACGTAATCACAGATACAAAAACAAATCGAGATTCTTTTAAAAATATTCGGGGTCGTCAGATTGTAAGCTTTATAATATATGATTAGTAGATATAGTCTTAATGAACAATATTTCCTGAGAATTATATCATTGAAAATGAATTTTAAAATATTTAAAATCTTTATAAATTATTCAATTTAAGATAAAAAAAAAAAAAGGAAAACAAATCTTGTAAAAATTAATTTTTCGTCGAATTTTTTTTTCTTCGGACAATATTACTTTTTAATATATATTATTTATAAAAGAAATTAAAAGCTTCTCTAATCAAATTATGTCTTAATTCTATTGTGTTTTATTTTTTATTTTTCGATTCAGAACAGATTTTCGGTAAGACTGGATCCAATTTTGCAACAAAATTAGGTGATTTAAATTTTTCAAAGATTTATGCTTTTATAGTTACTAAAATTATCTCGTTGAATTTCTCAAGTTTTGATAAATTAAGTAAGTGGCTGAAACACGTGTAAAAATATTTTTACCAAGATCTTCTAATAATAAAAATAATTTCATTCATTTGTGAATAAATTCTGAAAATTTCATTAAAATCCGACAATTATTTGATTTTTGCAAGAATTTCCAAATTAATGTGCCTACCACCGCAAAAAGAAGCCAAAATTTGCTAATTTCGAATGTTCTAAAAATGAGTATAAAATGTAATTAAATAATCAAAAGATATTTTGATCCTTCCTCTTAATATTAACATAACGATTTTTTAACGATAAAACCATGTTTTCATTACATTTGAAGCATGTTTTCATAAAGGTATACTTATTTTTAAGTGTCTTTGTAGAGTTACCTACTGTGAAGTATGTTTTTATTACTGTGAACATGAGGCTATTTCTGTTTCTATGATGTGAGTGACCCCACACTCTTATTCATATATATATATATAATCACATTAAGTATTTTCTTTTAACAATAATGCTGTAAATATATTGTGTATATTGAATATATCTGAGATATATGTACTTTATTTGTCATGACTGACAAAAGATATACAGTGGTTAGCAGCTGTTGTAATTAACGGGGAGAGTAATAACTTAATTACCAAGTCTTCATCTAATAATACAAATTTAATTTAAATTTATTTTAACTCATTTGTTATTTATAACTCTTTATAAGAAAAAAGGAAGAAAGCTTGGTGGTTAGATGTGGGGTTTCACGCCTCAAATAGTAGAGCTGATGTCATATTAAGACAGGTTTCTTACGAACAAAAGGGATATGAGTTCGAGTCTTGCCAAAAGCTTAATCTTTATTTTTAATTTGCACTGTTTACTGACAGTCATATAATGACGATTTGTTATGACTGGATAGTGAGTTTTATCCTCACTGGGTGCCCTATACTTTCGGCCTTGTGCTGCATCTAAGCTACGTTTAGAAAATTGACAACTTCAACGTGGTATAATACTTAGCCAGCATTTCTCATTAGGTCAATTACGACTGAAAAGTGAGTTCGATCCTTACTGGGTACTCCCAAACTTTGGGCCTTGTGCCACATCTAAGCTACGAGCTTAGAAAACCATCATATAATGATGACCTGAAATATAATTTCATTGTAAATTATTTAAAAAACTGTAACAACGTCATCTTTCCCTGAGAGTGTTTTTGTTGAGTTCATGGAGATGGCTACGAAGTCTGTCTCCTTCAGCTTTGACAACCACATGTATCAGCAGATAGATGGAATAGCGATGGGTAGTCCTTTGGGTCCTTTGTTGGCCAACATTTTTGTTGGCTTTCATAAAAAACAGCTATTTAATAAGATTAATAAGCCCTATTGCTACTTCCGCTTTGTTGATGACACCTTCACTGCTTTAGGTAAAGCGGAGGAGTTTTTCTCTCAGTTCAATAATCTCCATCCTTTTCTAAAATATACAATTGAGATAGAAGAGAATAATCAGCTTCCTTTCTTGGATGTACTGTTGGAGAGAACACCTGTAGGTTTTCTTACCAGTGCTTATCGTAAACTCACTTTTTCTGGGCTTTACTTAACTTGGGATTCTTTTGCACCCGGATCCGGGAAGAATAATCTTATTGGGACCCTTTCTTATCATGCATTGATAATGCAGGCTCGGCGCCGAGCTGAAGAAAATTAAACAACATTTATTGATGAATGGTTACCCTGAATGTGTGTTGATAGCTACCATTGAACAAAAGATCAATAAGTTCAATGAGTCTAAGAGATATGGTCCATCTAAGTGTCTTGTTTATATGAGACTCCCGTTGATCGAACCTGGGAGTCAAACATATGCAGACAGTATTGCTAATTCAATTAAACGGTGTTTTAATACTGTTACTGTCCGAAGTATTTTTACTACAAAAAAGGCTTTCCCCGCTCCCTGTAAGGATGTCTTGCCTACCAGTCAACAATTATTAGTTATATATCAATATAAATGTCGAAGTGAGATCGACTATGTGGCAAGACCATTCAACGGTTAGAGGTATGAATCGGCCGGCACGTTCCGGGCAAGGTGCGAAGACACGAGCCTATTACATCCGGGTGTTCGCAAACTCATGAGTCTGCGATTGGTGAGCACCTATTAAATTCTGTCGTTTGCAGGACGAACTATTCTCCTGATTTTTTTTTCTGTCATACACAGGGCTAGGACAAGACTCCACTTAGACATCTTGGAGTCTATTATTATTAATATGCAACGTCCTGCCCTGTGTAGACAACCGGAGATGAAATATAGGTTGGCCCTGTGGGGTTCAGCGTACCCAGATTAAAGAAGAATTTAATACGGGATACCCTGCCCACAAGATACAACGCAAATCTCAAGAAGAAACAACACGATAAGGGACGTTTATAGAAAATAGAACATTGTATATTTATTATCTTGTGACTAGGGTAAAAAAGATTAATGTTTTAGTTCGTTTAAGCAAAAATGTGATTTTGATAAAAATGTCTGTGTTCGTTGTCTTTTAACAGAGTAGCAGAGTAATATATATTTGTATAGTTGCAAATGAAAAAAGGGCGAGCAATTTAAGTTGAAAAAAGAGAGTGTGAATGAGGAATAAAGATAAAAGGAAAATGTACTTATGAATTGTTTTGGAGTCAGTTGTAAATTTGTTGTTGTTGTTGTTGTTGTCGGCTCTTTGTGTCGGTTTGAGTCAGTGATGAAATTTACGGTCAATCTTCTGTGATCTTTGTGCCCTTCTCTGACTGACTGACTAGTGACTGACTTGAAAACTCTGTATTTATTGTTGTCTTTTTTTTCACACAGGCTCGTTATCTTTTTTTTTGGTTTAGCAAATCGCCTCCTTTCATTGGTCAGAAAATTAATTTCACACCTTATTGTGAAATCTGTTTTTGGTTGTTTTGATCCGATTTTGCGGGTGTGCAAATCTACTTTGTGTTTTTTTTAGTCATTTGTTGGAATATAGGATTTGTATCCTATATCCCTATTCGCGAAAACTATTGCCTGAGTGGGAAGATATTTAGTAATGACTAGCAGCATGGCCCGGCGTTGCCCGTGCTTGATTAAAAAATCGTACGACTCATACAGCAATCGCTATCACTTGACTTAAAATATTTTTGCCCTTCCTTGCCTTTAAAGGAGTGCCCTTTGCCGTGCTGATGTTGCTACATGTCTTACTTCTTGCCTATCTCATACTGCGAATTTTTTCTAAGCTCTATGCTAAACATTAAACTGTTACGAAAAAAGAACTAAACAAAATGAACACAAAACGATCACCTTTAAAAAAGGACTCGTAACTGGAAAAACCGAATGAAAAAAGAATGTTAACAACAAATACTTTTTCACACCCAACCCAGTTCTGCGGAATCGGAATCAACGTTGAGTTTAAGCAAGCGAATGAGCCAAGTGGAGTAAAGTGCCATGCAGATTTAAATTTTTCCCACTTTTGACAAATGCAGCTATGATAGTTAACATTCGTGTCAGTCAGCTGTTGGCTCTCACGCTGGCCAATAGAATCTTCCTGCCTATTCGTGACAGCCAGCTATTGGCTCTCACTCTGGCCAGTAGAAAATGTCCGCAAACTACATGAAAACTGCTGGAGAAGCATGAAAAAATCGATTACTTCCACTATCGATGGGAGTTGGGAAATGCAAAATCGGTCCAATCACCAAAAATTACTATTCTTAAAAGAGTGCTCATACAAAGTAAAGTGAATATAATTATTTATTTAAAAATTATAACATAAATGCTATAAAATCACCACTACAAAAATAGCCATTTATGTTATAATTTTAAATAAATAATTATATATATATATATATATATATATATATATATATAAATTAATTGATTTAAAATATGTTTTTTCGATATATATATATATATATATATATATATATATATATATATATATATATAGAGAGAGAGAGAGAGAGAGAGAGAGAGAGAAAATAAAGTTAAAATTGAAATAATTTTTTTCTCATCATGTAAAAAAAGAGGAACTTTAAAGTCTTTAACCAAATGACCTTGATCCCAGAATTATAATATGAGGCTCTCCCTCTTTTGGCCATTTACCTTTGCTGGGATTAGGCATTAGTATATGACTCCATAAACTGGTGAACTTAGGCATGTAGCAAAGGGTAAAATCCTGACTTAGCCTTTTCGTAAATTCCCACTGTAATAAAGAAATTCAGGCCTTGACATCCCATAGGTTTTACAATCACATAACATTGAAACACCGATCCCCTTAAACTCACCAAAGTTAAGCAATGTCAAGCCTGGTCAGTACCGAGATGGGTGACCGCTTGGGAATACCAGGTACTGTAAACTTGGATCTGTGAGTAGTGTAGTGGATAATGGCTTAGAATTGTTAAATGGGAAGCTGAGTTTCAATTCCAGTTGGGTTCCTTATATTCGTTTATGCGTAAATATCCTTGGGAAAGGAATGAATTCACGCATTCTCCTCCAGCTATGGGTTAATTAGTAAGACTTGTAGCACTAAATCATTATTATCTCGAAAACAATTCCTACAATTAACAAAATATTTTCTGGCTTTAGGTAACCTGCAAATGTTTGATAAGCTGTAGAAAACATATCAATCAATAAAAAAAAACGTCCACAGGCCACTGAATTTTCATAATTGTCATGAAAGCCTTAAAAAATTATATTCACCATTAAAACTCTATTACTAGGTTTGCTGCTAGGAAAACTGGTTTGCAGTCCCTACACGCAAGCCACCAATCTGCCACTGGGTGGCATGCCACTAGCGTTTACCGCTGGTGGCCCACTATCGGGCTTTCAGCAGGATAGTCTCTGCAATATTACCACTAGCGAACCGCAAGAGGCCCGCCGGTGGCTGCCACGAGAGAACTGCTGGCGTTGTCAACAGCGGCCAGCCAATGGGCTACTAGAGGCTCGCGTGTAGGGGTGTTGGTTTAGGCAATTTTTCCCCCAGAATCTTATATCTTTATAAGCCTATCATTTTCCATGTATTAAATATTACAGCCATATTTAGTTTGGTTCGACATAATTCAAAAAAGAATCTGCAATGTTATTAGTTCTGGCCTGGCATTTCAGCATCAGATATTTTTCCACTGCTGTAACGTAGCCTCATTGTGACTTTCCTATAAATATTTTCATGGTAATTGTTCTGATGAGCATTCCTCTTTGGTACCCCAGCTTCATGAATTTAAGTATATTACTAGATTGGCAGTTAGGTCTCATTATTTTACTGTTGAAATTGCTAGATGTAATCATGTTCTATGCGAATAGTTTCTTCTCTCACAGTTCTTGTTTGTGGAACTCTTTTCCTGATTCCTGTCAATTACGTTCTTCAAAATTTTAAATGCAACGTCAATTGTCATCTGTCTCCTTCATCCTGTTCTGTTATTGTATTCTCTCCTCAGATTCTTTCAATCTCAGTAACCTTGTGCATCTTAGTGGCTTTATCGCCTTGCTTGGGATGAAATGATTCAAAAATATATCCAGCTAAACTTTGAAGTTGTTTTTTGCTCAGTGAAAATTATCGCTTTTCCACCTTCCTCTTATGACTTACTCTTTCGTGTGTTTGTGGGATCTTAACATGCCATGAGATCAGTATATACACTCGATACTCCCACCACAAGTACATCCGGAAAGCCTAATTGTTATTCGGTTTCTTTTACCATTATGAACAAGTTAGAAAGTTTCATGACAAGTTTTCACAAGCCTATAAGATATAAATTATAAATAACAAAAAATGTGTCTTTAAATAGGGCGGAAAGATTAATACGGTCAATTTATAAATCATAAAACATTTTCAAAACAATGGCATTCATATATAGATACATAAGATTATAATGCTTGTATGTGTGTGTATATGTGCGTGTATGTGTGTGTATGTGTGTGTTGCGGTAGTTTGATGTACATAATGCTTCAGTGTTAATAGTCATTGGTACACATTTAGAGAATTTATGAAGATATCTTTTTTCATTTTATCTATGAAATTCGGTGTGTTAGATATGGTCCTAAGTATAAGAAAGGCTGTATTTATTGTATTTACAAAGAGAGTTATCAAACTGTAATTTTTTAGTTTTCATAATTCAGGTCGATATATTTGATAAAATGTACAGAACATTTCTGTTTTATTCTTGGGAAATACTCGTATGGAACTGAAAGACCGGTTTTATTTGTGGCATATTTATATAAACACATTCACTTAAGCGCAAATACCATTTGGAAAGGTATGCATCCATCTTTTCTCCCCTCAATTATGAGTAATTAATTGATTGAGTCATTTTTTACGGCTTATCAACCCTTTGCCGGTTATTTAAAGCCAGAAAATATTTTTAGATATTAAGATTTTTTTTGAGATATTAATGGTTTAGTGATACAAGTCTTACTAATTGACCCATAGCTGGGGGAGAAGAGGTGGATTCATACCTTTCTCAAAGGTAAGAATATAATGAACCCAACAGGAATTGGAACTTAGCATTCTGATTAACAATTCCAAACCATTATCCATTATACCACCTTGCACATCCAAGCTTAGTGCAACTGGTATTGCCAAGCAATCACCCATCTAGGTACTGACTAGGCTTGATGTTTAATTTTGGTGATTCTATGGGGACCGGTGTTTCAACGTGATATGGCCGTAAGCTGCCAGCTGTGGGTAAATAGCAGGACAGACTGGGTGGCAACAAGTCAAGGAGAAGGTTAACAGCTATGTGTTAAATAGCCTCACCAACCCGCAGTGAGTGAGAAGATCCTGGATTGGCATCTGAATCTCTTCTGATGAGCTTTCATCCTTGGTACCTTAAATTGATTGCATAAATTTAGTGCCATTGAGATAAATTCAAGGTCAATTTAAGAAGGCAATTTTTAATGAAAGTGTTCAGAAGGGTTGATTCAATATATTTGACTCAATCAACATAACTAAAAGGTGTTGTCTCTTATTAAAAATTATTATCGTGGATCTCTCTCTCTCTCTCTCTCTCTATATATATATATATATATATATATATATATATATATATATATATATATGGATTATATATAGGTTTCAAAGAAAAAAATTGAAGGGTTTCTCAATAAATAAGCAGTACTAAATGTAAGTAGATTCTTTTTTATTCTGCTTTTCATCTCTTGGGATATTTCATTTCTTTTTTTATATTCCTAGACAAGGACAGCAGAATGAAAACAATCCATTCACATAGATTAAATAAAGGGTTAATTTTGAAATTCACTGAAAGTTACCTAGACTGACATACACCTGAAGAAGGCTGGAAAGCACAGCAGCCGAAACGCTGTGATGATAAAAACAAAGATGGGAATATTAGTCTGAATGTAAATAATGTAAAGCAAAGTGGAGTAATGAATAGCAGCTCGGACTGTGGAATCGGAGAGCCGAGTTCGAATTCTATTCGAATCCATTACATTGACTTACGTGCTAATACCCTTGGGAAAGGTATGAATCCTCTTCTTCTCCCGCCAATTATGGGTAAATAGCAAGATAGACTGGGTTCTATAGCCTTGGATGGCAACTGGTCTACCGCAGAAAGAAATGGCAACTTACTGCGGAAAAAATCTGCTTCGTCAGTCATGTATCGAAAGATACATGATCGCCTAAGCGTGTATCACGCATGGCATTGCCCGAATGCTAAGTCCTCATCCCAGAAATTCAGACAGGTTCTCATTTTGTGATTATGCTTTCATTAGATATAATTTTTATTGGACTTTTTAAAAAAATTATCTCTGTCTGTCTGTCTGTCTGTCTGTTAACAATTTCCATCTTTATTTTTGATTTTTACTGTTCTTGTTGAGTTTCTAGACAAAGAAAGGTTTCTTTTAGAAAGTTCACACAAAAATAATAGTATAAATAAGCGTAGCTGCATATAATTAGCTTTATGCTAATATTAAAATTTCTTTTTATCATATTCATTCACACTCAGTAACCCCTTACATCTTAGTGGCTTTGTTTTCTTGCTTGGAATCAAAGGATAAAAAAGATGCTTTCTTTTTATGAAATTAATTTAAATAAAGACATATCACACAGTTTTCTATGGGAGAATATGATATATAAAATCAATTTAACAGAGAAATGGACGGTAACTGAAATGACGAGAAAAAATCCTATGTCATAAAGCTTCGACCTTTAAAAGGACTTCTTCAGACTAAGTGATGTAGCCCCCCTCCCGCCACTTCCTCCTGGGCAGAGACTAAATCTGCTTCCCCAGCAGCTTACAAGTACATAGTGGTATTTCCCTTTGGGAATATATCTTTCCAGATATAGAAAGAAACTTTGGCTCGTAGTCCTCAATTTGAGAAAAGTCAAGACTCGTCGTTTCCCCTTTGTGAGATCTGTCCTCACCTGGAACATAGTAGATGAATTCAGAATTTGGAGTCCTAAACATGGCTTCTCCAGAAACACAGAAGAATCCCCATATTACATGTAAGCACCTTCCTCTTTGTTTCTCCTTACACTCTACTTGCTGTATTGATATATTATTCTCTGCGTGGGACACGTATATATATATATATATATATATATATATATATATATATATATATATATATATTTTTGTACGACGAAACATTATAAAATCACTCTCAGAGAACAAAGCCTGTTTGTCATACTTTTTCTTTTCAGCCATTCCATCCTATCCCTGAAATACGGTGTTGTTATATCATAGATATAATAATGCCCATCATGGGGGAAATACAAAAGTGAGAATAAAACATTTCTTCCATAGTTCTCTCCTGTTATAATAGTAATTTTGTTAAGAAAGGTGACATGCTGTATGAACCTGGATGTAAAGTTTCTGTTTACAAAACAACACATTCAATACATTAATCACTCATTATAATACGTCTGACTATAATTTTGACTTAAGAAAAGCAGTTCTAATCAAATGAGAAAATAATTTAAGACAAAATGTATAGAAAATGCACTAATTCCAGAATTTCCCACAGTAAATTTATGTCCATGTTAGCCACATCAAGTACGATAAATTTAAAATTAAAAGAAAGTTAAGCATCCTTTCATTTTCAGCGTTTAAGAAAGTTGGTTCACTGTCATGCTAGGCAATTTTCTCACCAGAATCTATCTTACATATTTATAATTCTACTACTCTTTCATGCATTGAATATTGCTATCATATCTGGTTTGTTGCTTCTGCTATATATTTAGAAATTCTCGATAAAATACAACAAAGTATCTGCAATGTTATTGGCCCTGATATGGCATCACGGCTTTATTCACTTTATCACTGCCATAACGTAGCTTCCCTGTGCCTTTTCTATAAATACTTTCATGATAATTGTTTTCATGAACTTTCCCCTATGGTACG